ATGATCATAATATGTGTTTTTTGGCTTGTATATATCAGTATGGTGCATCAGAAACTGTATTTTTACACAAAACGAGTACAAACTAGAGCACATTCCATGGAATCTAGATGATTATGTTGAATTTTACACCATAAGGGTGGAGGTGTAAGAAAAAATCATAGTTGAGGGGTAGATGTAATTATCCCAAACAAGAGGGGTTTTTTCGTAAATTGACCATACCTCAGGGGGTGGTTGTAATTTACCCTTTTTAGTTCAATACGCAAAGTCTAAACTCTAACATGCTAAGTGATTTTCACTTGCAGTGGTTGCCTTCTCTTGCAGTATTGGTGTCGGTATTTGTAAGCTTTTTCACGTCAGATTCAACGTCGTATCTTCCTACCATTCTATTCGGTACCTATATAGGTTGGATTTACCTTAGATACTGGCAAAGTAAACCAGAGACAAGACTAAGAGGCGATCCAAGTGATGAATTTTCTTTCTCTACATTCTTCCCTGAATTTTTAAGGTAATTAATTCGACTCTTTTAGTTGTTAGTTGGTGTATTTGCTGCCTTTTTATTTTCTTTCTGATCTCTGCATTTCAAATTTACGTGTGGGGGGGAGCAGACCAGTGATCGATCCCGTTGCTACAATTATTGAGCGGATGATATGTGGGAAAAGATCTGAGTCGTTGGATGAGTCGAGAGACTATAACTTAGGAGGAGGTACTTCATTATCTGGTACAGATTCGATCGAAGCATCTCGGAGGAGGTAATAATTTTATGCTTATTACCAAACGTCCAATGGATATTTATTTGCTCGTGTATTACAAATGGTTTGTTATCTATATCTTATGTTTGATAGCTATGTATTAGAATTTTAGAAGTTGTGATTATTTTCTATTTTCCGAATTTGCCAATGCATAGTAGCTAATATTACCGAAAATATTAGAGATCTCGTCAAAGTAGTATCAAATTAATTGTGTGAATTTGTAACAGAATGTGTAGAAATAAACGATGTTTCGTTTGTAATGTAATTGCATTGCTTGATTAAATAATTGCAGGGAAAGAGGCGCTCGAGCACTCGAAGAAAGATTGGCAGCAGAGAGAGCGGCTGCTTTGGGAAAAACCGAAGATGCACAAAAAAGAGATGCAAATGAGATTGTGTAGAAAAGTTGCAACTTTTTTTTTTTTTTTTTTTAAGTTTTCCCTCTTTTGAGCACAAATTTGTTTATACTTACTTTTGATTTTATGAGGACTTTTTTTATCGATATGTTGATTTTGGTACTGAATTTGTCCATTTTGGATGTGGGCATATATAATTTTTTTCCCCTTAATTTAAAAAATAAAGCGTAACAGTTTATCAACTTTTAAAACAAGTAGATAACCGACACACTTATCAAGTGTTTAAAGTAGATTTAATCAAACACCCCTAATAGATAATTTGTTAAAAAAAATTATGCCTTGAGATTATTGTATATACAACTTATAAATTTCTTAGATTAGATAATAAATTAATTTTCAAAAGCAACTTTAGTTAAGGTGTAAGATGTGAATTAATTAACATTTTCACAATAAAACGCCTTCAAAATCATTAATATATTGTTATATTATTAGTATTTTAAATATTAAAATTTTACAATAGATAAAATGCGAGAGCTGGCTGATGTGCTTATGAACAATTGTTGTTCGTCAGTAAACTCGAAATGGAGTCGACTCAATTCATTTACAAATCCTAGAATGTAATAAGAAAAATTAGAATTAAAATACAAAATTGCAAATATTAGCAAGCATATCATTTTTTTCTCCACAAGTATTCACCAAAAAAAAGTTTATTGTATTATAGCTAGTGGTTTAAGAGGGTGTTTGGCTAAGGTTATTTTAAACAGCTGATAAGTTCTTATGTCTGATAAGATGTTTTAAGAGCTGATAAACTGTTACATCTTATTTTTAAGATTAATTTTTAGAGTGTTTGGATAATGAGTTTATTTCCTATTTTTACTCATTATAAGATCTTAAATAAAAAGTTAAATAAAAAGGTGGGGTGGATGTACTTTTTTAAAAATATCTTATTTGCTCTCCAACAGCTTATTTTAACAAAAAAAATCTTTGTTAAAAAAACTACCAAACACTTTGAAAGAGCTTATAAGCTCTAAAACATCTTATAAGCTCCTTTTAACATCTTATAAGCTTAGCCAAACAGCCTCTGAATTTAAATATTTTATAATGAATGATATTATTATATAAATCCGATTTTAAATAAGTAAATAATAATTATATTATTACATCCGCCTAAAAGAACAAGCTTATTTCTATCTATTGAATTTGCAGCAGCGAGGCATCGTTTCTCCTCTTCGATCGACTCGAAAATTAGGGTTTTCGCGTAAGTTCTTCAATATTGTGAAAATTTAATTGATATTCCGCTTCCATTTGTTGAATATTATCACGATTTCTTGTGTGAAAATCTGTCGAATATCCTTGTTATTGAAATTTCCGTTTGGATTTGGTTTTCGTGGAGTTTATATTTAACGTGGGATTTAAAAAAAATTAATACCTAATATATGTATATTGTGAGAAATTTCGGTTTACATTTTTGAATTTATGTTGCAGATCAATTCAATCAAATCATGGCAGAGGAAGAAAATCAAAATGGGATCAAGGAGGAGGTTAAGGATGACGTCGGAGATGTTAGTTTTACCAATAAAAAAATATATATTACTGTTACTAATTTTAATTCGATTGTCGATTCTTAGTTGCTGCACATTTCCCCTTTTTTTCCGATTTTTATTGCATTTAACATGAAAGGTTTTGTTTAAGTTAATCCACGTGCTTTTGATAATTTTTAGCTTACGAAAAGATGAGTCTGGGTGTTTCGGTAATAGTTCTCTGAAGTTTAAGTGTTAGAAAGCTAGAAAATATAAATATAGACAATGGCAAAACCTTGGGGATTTAGTCGAACAAGACATTTTTCCTTTGTTATTTCCGTATTTTAGTGTGTTTAATCTTTTGACACTTCACTTAGTTTCTATCTTCCTTCGTTCATTGAAAATCTCTTACCTTTTTGTCTTTGGTTACAAGAAATATATAGATAAAACGGCATTTAAACTTAGCATTACTCCCCATAAGATGGTTTATTTTCCTGATTATTACAGTCTTGAAGAATTTACATGACTTGAACTTCAATCCTAGCTGTATAAGATGGATTTGTCTTTGTTCGATTTTTCAAAGTTAGCATGTCTCTAAAGTAGAAAAAAATTATAAACACCCACGAAGTTGAATTTAGCTATGAGCTGGTTGAGTTAGATAGTGGTCACGTAAGATTTTTGGAGCTGAATAGGGGTACATTTTACAACCAAACAACTACTGCTTGTGCAAATGAGGCTGAAAAATTGTATGATCGTTCCGTATTTTTATTTTGTCCTCAACGTATCATTGTGTTGCAGATAGCTCCTTTTGACCCAACGAAAAAGAAGAAAAAGAAGAAGCCAGTAGCTCAAGATCTAGCCGAAGATGAGTCTGTTAATAATCTGGTCGAGAAAACAGAGAGCTTGTCTGGTATGTATGTACGTATGTATGTATGTATGTATGTATGTATGTATGTATGTATGTATGTATGTATGTATGTATGTATTTAAGAAATTCTGCCCATGTAAATTTTTTATTTATTCGTATACCTTCGTTCTTTAGCTATATCTATCGTAAAATGTATCACGTTCTTGTGCAGTTTCCGAAGGTCTCGAAACATCATTTGCTGGTCTCAAAAAGAAAAAGAAAAAGGCAGTGAGTGACAGTTTCATCCATTTATATTACGATGATGTTGGATAAAGTCTCGTTTTTATATATAAAATTGTGCAAAATCATTGCAGGCGCATACCGATCTTCTGAATGAAGAAAAAGAGACTGTGGGGGAAGATCTCGACGGTAATGAGTTGTTTGTTTGAGACTGCATTCGGTTTGTGCTTTTCCGCAGCTTTATTTTTTTCTTTGTCGATTATATTTTTTTTTCGTTATTGAACTTTAGATGTCGTTGGAGAGGATGAGGAAGGAGAAGGAATTATTTTGCAACAATATCCATGGGAAGGAAGCGATCGAGATTATAAATATGAGGAGGTAATTGCTTTTTTTCCCGACCTTGAACAGTATTCGGGTGAAAAATGCATTTTAATGGAATCTTCTAATATAATCTAGCTGCTCGAAGTTGTTTAATCATTAAAATTTTGAAAAAACGTGCTTGGGTAGGAATAGTGTTTTTTTTTAGATGGACGGTATTTACGGTTTTTTACCTCGGTCAGCAGCTTTTTCATTAACACTATGCCCCATCTGCTCCAATAATTTCATATCCCTCCTTGACTTGGCATAGAGTATTAGATAAGATTTATAAAAATAAAAAAAAGGGCAAATTACGGCCACCCCCTGAGGTATAACCAAATTACGAAAAAACCCCTCTTGTTTGGGTAATTACAGCCACCCTTCTCCTTTTAAATATTTTTACATAAAATTTATGTAATTCGGTTATTTACTGAACCAAATCGTATATTCAGTTCGGTAAATGGTATGAAATGTTGGCGTACCGAAATTTCGTTTCGGTTTTACCGATTTAACATCCTTAAATTTACCTCTGGAGGGATATTTTCGTAAGATAATACATAGTTGAGGGGTGGCTGTAATTACCCAAACATGAGGGGGGTTTTCGTAATTTGACTATAACTCAGGGGGTTGGCCGTAATTTACCCCCAAAAAAAAAACTACGCTTGTTACCATAATCAGACTCGTTGAAATGAAAATAACTTGCTACTGTGAAATCTTTAAACATCGCGTAATTTCTTTTACTTTATTGCTCAGAGTTATGTGGTGTATGAGTTCAACTGTTGGCAGATCGATTTTCTGCTTGTTGTTTTCTATACTGTTCGATCGAGGGGATATTATTTTTTCTTCTCCCATGCTCTCTAGTTATGGAAATAAATAAATAAATATCTTTCGATTTTGTGTAGCTTCTCGGGCGAGTTTTCAATATCCTGCGTGAGAATAATCCCGAACTTGCTGGAGATCGCCGTAGGACTGTTATGAGGCCGCCTCAAGTTCTTCGTGAAGGCACAAAGAAAACTGTTTTCGTGAATTTTATGGATCTCTGCAAAACGTAACCTATTATTAGTTCTCTATCTTTGTTTGAAATAAAATCCCTGCATCTGATGCTTTGTGATTACGTGAAGGTATTTTCGATTCTTTTTTTTTTTAATAGGATGCATAGACAACCGGAGCATGTCATGACTTTCTTGTTGGCTGAGATGGGAACGAGTGGGTCCCTCGATGGACAACAAAGATTGGTTGTTAAAGGCAGATTTGCTCCCAAGAATTTTGAGGGAATTCTTCGCCGCTATATTAGTAAGTTTACTTTCGATGAAGAATTCGTGTTCGCCGCTATGTTCCTAATATTTGCTAGTGTCTTAAAAACTTGGTTGCTGTAATGATTGTGTGCAGATGAGTATGTCATATGCAACGGCTGCAAAAGTCCGGACACTATCCTTTCTAAGGAGAACCGTCTCTTCTTTCTCAGATGTGAAAAGGTAGTCAGTCGTATCCCTTTACTTCTCGTCTTTTTTTCGTGTATATGAAATCGCTCATTTTGTTTTTTTTTTTTCCGTGTGCTAAATTTTTCTTGTTAGTGTGGTTCTGGGAGATCGGTTGCTCCAATCAAAGCTGGATTTGTTGCTCGTGTTGGTCGTCGTAAAGCTGGAACATAACCGAATTCGGCTTCTATTTCTTGGAAAAATACTTTTTTTTTTCTTTTTTCTAAAATACTTTTGATTGATTTTAGAAGTTTTGTGGCAGTAAATAAATGACAATGCATTTTATTTTCCTAAAAAAAAAAAGAAAAAAGAAAAAGAGATACACATTTGATATTGCATTGCGTGAGCGTAGTAGCAACCTTTCATTTATGAAGTGGTCCAGATGAGACTTTTCACTTTGGTCCTTGAAGTCTTCCCATGTCAGAATATTACCCCACTATTTTCTTATTGTTTGCAATAACCACCAACTTTTGAAACTTTCTCGTGGATACTGTTATCTAGTGTAGTTTACATCTATCGTGCAGTTTGTAAATTACCGAACGAGGGGGAGTTTAACTAGTGCCCTTGGAATGATTGTACATTCACTTGTACTTAGTTTTTCTTTAATATATATATATATATATATATATATATATATATATATATATATATATATATATATATATATATATATATATATATATATATATATATATATATATATATATCTTATTAATAAATCTTAAAAAAAAATATATAAATAATTGCCAAAAAGTATGGAAGATATGTATTGTAGGGAAAAATATGTTTGAGGTTGGTCCTACCATGTTGGAGGCCTAATTATGAAAACAGGCAGTGGGACCCATGAAAGAATAAATATGCATATCAACAATAATTGATTAATTTTTCTATATATATAAAAAAAAAAAAACAATAATTGATTAATTGCAAATATTAAAAATATTTTTTTATAACCGCATGATTGCAGGATTTTGTAGCTACATGTAGGGCCATCAAATGAGAGTAGTTGGATTTAGTCATATGGTATAACTTCTAGTTTAATATTTTATTTTTTATTCAAGCTTCTGGAGTATTCCCCATTAATTTGGAAGTTTTGATTTATCAATTTCAAGTTATTGTAACAAAATAGTATTTGCAAAAAAAAAAAAAAAAAAAAAGAAAGAAAATGCTGAATTCAATTGGTCTTCTCGTCGGTTCTTTTCATGCTTCAAGTTCAAGTCAATTAAAGTCAAACTATGGACTAAAATCAAGTTCAACATGTCCCAAATAATACATATTGATCGATCTTCAATCATCGGTTTTGGTGATGTAAGTTTGATGTCAAGCATAAAATGATGTCGGGATCACGATTGACTTTCGTTTCTGCAACGTCGAGATAAGTTTCCCGGCGTAAAAGTTCCAACGATCAAAATATAATTTATGTGTACGTATATTGTGAACATAAGTTAAAAAGTATTAGGGAGTAAAAGTTTGATTGAATCCCTCTATTTATACATAATTCTTTATTTATTGAGATGAAAGTTTCATTATGATTTTTAACCTAAGTACCTTTTTATTTGGGTCTGACGCGTTTAATGGACTTTAGTTAAGCAAGCTTCATTTCGCCTAAAAACCCCGATCCGAGGTTACACCATAATACCTATGGCCTTACTTCGTGTCGTCGTGCGTCGTAAGGGCGAAAGACACTTCCTCCTTAGTAGGGTGTATACTCTTTTAACAGAACTGGGCTTTTAGTTTTGGGGCGCCCTTCTTGGGCCTTATGTGCACGCAATTTATTTCATTTGTATAGGCGAGACTCATATGTGCTACATAGTCCATATCAACTACTCGCTCCTACTCCAAAATTTGAATTCAAATTGTGGGGTAAAAAAATCCCGCCCTTTTTCCTTCTGGCCACGTGTCTAGTGTCCGTAGGTCGGATGGGACGACGCGCGTGGGCTTATACCCCCGACTGCTCGAATGTCGAATCAGTCATTATTGAGGCGCGCCGGAGACATTTTCACGATAAACTAAGGATCAAGTCGATCAAGGCCGTTTGTTTGAGTGGATAAGATCTTTCGTCTTTTCGAAAATAGTGGTTATCGACATGTTAAATTGAGTAAATTAAGACTTTGTTTGTTAGTGAGATTAATCACGATTAACTAAATAATTGAACTTTATTTGATATTTGGTAAATACAATAACATAATTCTCGAGTCGACCCAAAAATATTATATTATCATGGTTTATCTTGTATTTTAGGAGACTTTTAATTGGATCTTCTATGATCCAACAAAATAATTGAGATTTTGTTATTTAATTTTATCTTGACCATGTACTGACAACCAAACAAGGCCTTAAAAAAGACGATGTAAGTTGAATTATTTTATATGAAATTGAATTATATTGATTTCAATTGTATTAAAAAACTAAAATATGTAACCACAACTTTGTTTATGGTTTATGAAATTTAGGCTGACTCATATGCAAAATGGGCCAAGCCCAAGATGTAATAGCCCAATTCTAGTTAATTAGCATGTGAGAATCACGTGACCTCCCCTGTAATATTTCCTGCAACGCAGGGGTACTTTCGGAATAACACAAAACGAAATGAACACAAAAGTAAAAGTTGGAAAAAAGAGGGAAACCGGGGGGGGGTGGGGTGATGTAGGTGGGCGGGTGCTGGAAAAATGTGATCATTTATTTTAGTTTTTAATTTTTAATAAATAAAATTATAAAAAAAAAATTTGGACGCAAAAAAGCTATTAAGCTGAGAATTTAATTGGCCCGTTGGAATCCGCATACACACACGGGCAACGCACACGTATGCGGAGCCGATCAGCTACACCCGCGTTTTCCTGCACCTGCTTTGCTGAGTTGTACGTTGAGAAAATCTACTAGTAGCAATCATCTTGTCATAAATAATTTGTAATTACATTTTTGGGCAAATTAAATAAAAAGAAAAAACCCATTTTTTGTGTTTTATATTTTTATTTTTATATTAAACATATGAAAAAAATAAGAAATTAAATAGAAAAGAAAGATATTACAAAAATTAAATTCCTATAATCTAGGGTCAACCACCATTAAAGTTTTTTGCTTATTAATATACGACTTCTTCTGCATGTGAAAAGATCATAAAATAATTTCGCTTAGGTGTTTGATGTAAGTCATTATATGAAAATATTATTTTTTTAAAGTGGAAAAAAAATCTAAAATTATTCATGTGTATAAGATAATAATTTGAAAATTAATATTCATTAAATTTAATTGTGTTTATATATATAATAGAAAACGTTGTTACCTATGTAGGCTATGTTACAAATATTAAAGAAAAAGTGAGATATGTATTACAAAATCTACAATCCTTAAAAAAAAAAAAAAGGAAAAAAAATTAATTAGTGATACTCATCACGGTACAACTCCTCAAAGCACACAATGCCACGTGTCAAACTCTAGAAAATCTCTTCTTTGTACAAGCATAGTAGCATATTCCACCCCCCACCCCCACACACAATAACACCACCCCCACTTCTTCTCACCCCATCACAATGGAAAAATAATATTAAAAACAAAACTTAAAAAATAAAAAAATAAAAAAATAAAAATAATAAAAAAAAGATAGAGAGAGAAAGAGGAAGAGAGAGAAAAAAAGCCCTCTTTCTTCTGTCACTTCTCTCTCTTCTTCTCTTTCCTTTTCCCCCCATTTGTCTCTTATCACTTCACTTCTCCTACCCCCAAAGATTTTCATTTTCTTTCCTTTTCTTTTTTTTCCAATTCCCCCTCAGAAAATCAAGCAGAAAAAAAAGATTAAAGAAAAAAAGAGAGAGAGAAAACCCATATAAGTTTATTCCTTTCTTCTTCGTACCTCAGAGCTTTGAAACCCTAATTTTTTTTTGATTTTGATTTTGCCCACCGTAAATTAATTGATAGCATCCCGTTGTTTGACCCAGCGCACAAGTGTGGTTTCTGGATGAAATTAAAGGAGGAGGCGGCGGCGTAAGGAGGAGACCCAGAAGAAGCAGGTTGATTTAGGAGGATAAAATTAGTTATTTGATGCCGCCGGAGCAGGTGCCTTGGGATCGGAGAGATTTTCGGAAGCACGAGAGATCCGGGTCTGACCCGCGCTTTGGTGGTGGAGGATTCGGCGGCGGAGGAGGAGGAGGACCCAATAGATGGCGGGAGCAGCACCATCATCCACACGCGCCGCCGCCGCACCCGCCGCCTTATCAGACCCACCACAACCATCAGCAGCAGCGCTGGTATTCGGATTTTCGCTCGTCTCGCCCTATTCCTCCTGGTGAGTTGTCAATTGAGTTTTTCAATCTATTTTTTTTCAATTGAGCGCTGGAATTTTTTTTCTCATTAGAATTAAAAAAGTTTTTGGTAATGGAGATTGCGTTCTCGTTCTTGTTGAGACGATTCTGAAAGTTTCTTTTTTTTTTTTTACTTTTTATTTATTTATTTCATGTGATTCAAAGTGGGCCGAAGATTTTGTATGTATTTGAGGGTAAACAGTTTTCTTTCAGTGAGTAGGTTATAAGTGAAAAGCTTTTCACGTTGTTATTGCCCGTCTAATTTCTTGAAAGTAGGCATGGGGACCATGTTTTTCGGCCATAATTTGTGCAGATCTGTTATTTTTTTGTAAAATCTACAGTGTTGATGTTGCTGTACAGATCCGTGTCTGTTCAGCCTTTCTTGGCCCTTAGAATATGTGAACCTGTAACTACTGAAATTATTCTAAAATTGCAAGATTACTGTGTGAGAATGCTTTTTTTGATTGCTCTCCAACCCTATTATTGGGTTTGGAATTTTTTTTTTGGGTGAAGGTCAACATAAGCAGGGTGGTTGGCACATGTATCCTGATGAGTCTGGTCATGGATTTATGCCTTTTGGGTCCAGATATGGTGACAGAAACCTAGATGATGATAACTTTCGACCTTTTGCCTCTCGCGGCGAAGGAAATGGAAGGTATCTTAGAAACAGCAGGGAAAACAGGGCATCCTTTAGCCAGAAAGACTGGAGATCTCCCTCTTCAGAACCTGCTGCATCGTCCAGTGGTCCTGGCAGACCTACCATCGAGGTTAATAATCAGAAGTCTGTAGAGAATAACCAAACATCCCATAACAATGACAGCAAGAGCAATGACTCCTCTCACCTTCTTCCGGATTCCTTACCAGGTCAATCTCAACCTCTCGTAAAAGAGAAGCATGAGAAGGACGATGACATTGCTGATGTACCGGCCAGCTCAGGTCAGAAAAACGAGAGAGAAAATGGGCAGGAATCGGTAGATTGGAAGCCTCTGAAGTGGACGCGCTCAGGAAGTATGCCTTCAAGAAGTCCTGGTGTCGCCCATTCTAATAGCTCCAAGGGTGTTGTAGTTGACTCTGTTGAGATAGTGGCTGAGTTGCAGCATAAGAATGTGAAACCTATTCAATCTCCTGCTGCTTTTTGTGCTGTCTCCACTGCTCCAGCTCCAGCTCCAGCTCCATTGGATGAGAACATTTCTAGGAAGAAACCTCGTCTTGGATGGGGTGAGGGTCTAGCAAAGTATGAGAAGAAGAAAGTTGAAGGCCCTGAAGATATTGAGACAGAGTATGGACTGGTTGTTAGTGTTAGCAATCCAGAAACTGTAAAGTCTCCCTCTGTTAACCTGCTTGACAAGAGCCCTAGAGTTGCAAGTTCGTCAGATTGTGCCTCACCTGCTACTCCGTCTTCGGTCGCTTGTAGTTCATCACCAGGTAATATATCAGATACCCTGCTAAGCATTTTACCATTTTTTTCTGTTCTCTGTTTTTTGGCAGTTACCTATTTGTCCATTTATTTCTTGTAGTTTTGTTCCCTCAGCTTTCAAGAGAGCAATAATTCTGATACACCTAGCTGTCTTGCAATCTGATTTTCTGCTATATATTAAAGAAATTCCTTTCTTGTACAACAAAATTAACATGTTTATTTGTTTTAAAATCTTATATACATGTCATCAGAAAGAACAAATTTCTGCCATGTTACGGTGTACTCGTCCTTATGTAAAGGAGGCAGCTAGTTGTAATGGTATCATTTTCCAATAAATTTTCTATGGTTCTTTTTGGCTTTCCTTTCACATTGAACTGGTGATACCAATGCATGTAAAACAAGCTACCACAAGGAGGCTTTATTCTGGGTTCTTATCTGCAAAGGAAAGAACCGAAACAATACTATGAACCTTAGATGGCAAAATATGAATTAGGATTCTATTATTTGGAACTCTTACCTTTGTAACTCCTTGCTTCTTTAGAATGTGGACTCGATCTTAACAGAAATGGGACTTATCCTTTATGGTTTCATGCCTGCGATATTACAATTGTTGCCTCCAATGATCTTGTACGCGTTGAAGGTACATTGAATTACAGAGAACTTGAGAGCCACTAGGGAATTGTTATCCGAAGATTTTTGATGGATAGAACTACTTATCACTTATCAATTATAGATGATATTTAGAGATTGATTTACTTAACTGAAAGTAAGACATATACATCCATACCCAACTTTTGATCACTGAACAACTGGCAGCATCTTGGCCAGACACCCCCTTTTTTTCTAGTGGACATCTTGCTTTGTTTGTGGATCGAGTTTCAGAAACAAGCTGTCTTTGGTCATAGGTTAATCACTTGTTGCTTTGTGTTGACTCCATAGAGTACTTAAATTAGTAAATATAATGATGACTACAGTCACTCAACGACTACTCATCTAAGTTCTTATCGCAAAAGAAATGATGAATTAGGATTCCGCAAATTCAATGCAACTGTACACTAGTGGCGCAAAGAAAGGAAAGCCTTCAAGTTTTAATGCCTGGATCACAATTTCAACACCATAAATATGAATTTGACCGGTCTCATTGTTTTGAAGATTAGTTTGACCCAAAAAAACCCGTGTGTTTATGTTGAGAACATAATATTTTGCTCTTGACAATATTTTTGTGAAGTTATCAACAATTGATTTTGTTTTACATGGAAAGGCTAGTATACCATGAAAAAAATCTTGTTTTAGCATGTTAAATAAAAGAAGGGTTTTTGGAAGACTTGGTTGCATATTATTTCTTAAACAAACTCAAACATGGATTTCTTTGTGGAAAAGAAACTGCGTATATGTCATTTATTAATTGGCGTATATGAGTTTCTCTGTTGTTTCGAGAAAACTTGAACTGAACTTGGTGTAAAATATTATGATGTATTTAAATGTGTTTTAGATTCTTTTTGTTGGTTTGTCATCCTTGTAAAATCTTTCTTGCTGGAGTGTTGTCTGAACTTCCAATAAACTTGGTTGCAAATATTTGAAAATTAGGCAGAAACATGCTAATTTGGCTATTTCTTGTTTAGTATTCTAGTCCATCATGAAACTTAGAGATTATTTGTTTCTGTGCCGGAAGAGCACGAGGACTGTTATAGGCTGTTATGATAAAGAAACAATCAGTTGCTTCAATAGTTATCGCCTTGGGCTGCAGGTAACACACGTGGCACAATTTGAGCCCCCTCTTGCCATTAACATTATTTTTGCTCTTGTGCTGCTGGTGGTTCAGAGTTGTAGATTACTTTAATTGATGCTTGATCAACCTTCTTGGGGTTTTCACTGATATTCTAGAGGAAAGCTGATTGTTCTCCTGTATTTCACTAAAACATATATTTGTTGCACTGTGACGAAATTAAGATTGAGTGCAGGTTGCGTCATCAGTAAAATTGCTTGTTTTTCCCTCCGAATGCAATTTTTTTCTTCTCATTTCATGTTCTTTTAATCTTACAGGTATTGAGGAGAAAGAATCCGTCACGGCTGCAAAGGTTGATCATGATACCACAAGCTTGAGCTGTTCACCTAATATTATGTCCCAGACTAACTATGAGGGACCAACTTTTAATTTAGAAAACTTGGATCTCACATCTATTGACAAACTGAGCACCTTAATTAATGAATTTCTGCAGTCCGACGATCCGAGTTCTGTAGAAACAGGTTATGTACAAACCATCTCAATGAACAAGTTGTTGGTATGGAAAGTCGACATTTTAAAAGCACTTGAGGTGACTGAATCAGAGATAGATTCGCTTGAAACTGAGCTCAAGTCATTGATAGCTGAACCTAGAAGTTTCTGTGCTCAGCCTGTTACTTCCAGCTTGCTACCGGAAGACTGCCATTTGAAACCTGGTGAAGAGCAAGTTACTGATTCCAGTTTTACTGTTGGATCTGCTCCATTGCAGGTTGTTTTACCTGGAGACATGACTGTTGAGAATATGCCTGCTGGACTGGACGACGAGCATGTGGCGGTGAAAGATGAGGAGATTGATAGTCCAGGCAGTGCCACGTCTAAATTAGTTGAGGTGTTGCCTTCTGTGGAAGAAACTGTTCCTTCTGTCACTACAGAATGTGGGGAGGAACTGATGAATTTGGATAATGATCCCAGTAACTCAGGGACATGTTTAGAATACGGTCTCAGCGATGAGGATAACGCTTGTCGTATTGTGATTAATTTTGAAAATCTTGGCAAGGTTGGCTGTGTGCTCTGTGATATGGGTCATATTTATAAATCTGTATTGGCTTCCAATAAAGATTCTATGCATGAGGCTTTCCAGGAGTTGAATAAGTTATTGCCGGCACAACAATGTCTTTTTGATATTCCGACTGCATCCGGTGTCTCTTCTTCTCAAAGTGAGTTGTCAGTAATAAAGGAGAGGTTTCTGATGAGGAAGCGGACCTTGCAATTCAAGCAGAAGGTTATTACCCTCAAGTTTAAGGTGTTTCAGCATTTCTGGAAAGAAGGTCGCATAGTTTCTATTAGGAAACTTCGAGGGAAGTCTCACAAGAAGTTTGATCAAAGTCGGACTGGATATAAAAAGAATCGCTATTCCAGTCGATCCAAATTCTTTTGTTCTGGTAAGCAATTATCTATTTCTTATTTTCCTGTTGTGTTTTTTCTTTCTCCCTCCCTTTCTCTCCGTCAGTGTTACCCGCATTCATTTCGTTTGCAATGATGATGATGTATACTTGCTGCCAGTGCTCTAGCTTCCAACCATGATAAAACAAACTACAATTTTTGAAATGGGACTGGAGACAGATCTATGTAAGGGGGGAAATAGCCACAGCCATAATAGTGATTAGTGAAAATTGAATTTTGAAATGATTTTACAGTTACCGTGACCTCCTTACATTTGCTTCTAACTGATGTATATATGGGATTCAAAATTGATTTTGTGTAGGCCAATATTTCCTGATATTTCACAAATTATGTCTTATTATTTTGCAGCTGGGAGTCCCAGAACAGTGTCTGCGGAAGAAGTAATCGACTTTGTTAATAGGTTGTTGTCGGAGTCACCATTCAAGCTCTGTCGGAATACTTTAAGGATGCCGGCATTGATTTTGGATAAGGAGATAAAGATGTCAAGGTTTATCTCAAATAATGGTCTGGTGGAAGATCCTTGTGCTGCTGAAAAAGGAAGATCTTTCAGCAATCCGTGGTCGGCTGAAGAGAGGGAAATTTTCATTGATAATCTTGCTATTTATGGGAAAGATTTTAAGAAGATTGCATCTTTTCTGGCCCACAAAACAATAGCAGACTGCATCGAGTTTTATTATAAGAATCACAAATCGGAATGCTTTGAGAGAGCTAGAAAGAAGCCAGATTTTGCTAAGCAAAGTAAATCTCAGTCCACCACGTACTTGGTCGGAACAGGGAAAAGATGGAATCGTGAGGCAAATGCTGCTTCTCTTGATTTACTTGGTGAAGCTTCTATGATGGCGGCTAATGTAAATGATGGCATAGATATTCAGCAGAAATGCACATCTAGGATCTTCTTTGGTGGGTCTAGTTCTCAGAAAGCGCAAAGGGTTGATAATGGTCCATTGCAGAGATCAAATAGTCTGGATATGTACAGCAATGAAACTGTAGCTGCTGATGTGTTGGCTGGTATTTGTGGTTCCCTGTCATCTGAGGCTATGAGTTCTTGCATCACGAGTTCTGTTGACCCTGCTGCTGATGGGCAACAAGATTGGAAGTCCCAAAGAGTCAGTTCTTGCGTAAAACGGCCTCTGACCCCTGATGTTACACAGAATATTGATGATGAGTGCTCGGACGAGAGCTGTTGGGAGATGGAATCTGCCGATTGGACTGATGAGGAGAAATCTATCTTCGTTCAGGCCGTGTCAACTTATGGCAAGGATTTTGCAATGCTCTCGCAGTCTGTCAGAACAAGATCGAGTGACCAGTGCAAGATATTCTTTAGTAAGGCTAGGAAGTGTCTTGGATTGGATCAGATTCAGCCTGAAGGTGGCAATGCTGTCTCTGCGGATATTAATGGAGGTGGCAGTGACACTGAAGATGCATGTGTTGTGCAGACAGGGTCCGTTGTTTGCGATGATGCAGAATGCAAGATGGAAGAGGATCTCCCCCCTCCTAACATGAAGTCTTCTCATGAATCTGGTATGGCAGGAACTCATGATTTAAAGCCTGATTTCAAGTTATGTGAGGAAAATACCCAACCATGTGCCACCGCTGATTCTATGGCAGCTGAACTTGTTTCACAGAATTTGTCGATGGGTGATAATCAGGTCAATGATAATGCGAATAGCAGAGAACGTAATGGTGAATGTAGATCTGTGCTGGAAAATAGAACCTTGGTTTTATCCTCTAATACAGAACCAGTACGAGTTGAAGAGGGAAATGATCTTGGCCGGCTTAATGGATCAAATGAGGCGGCATTGCCTGAGGTTTCTAATGGGCGTCCTTGTGAAGAGAATGACGGACACGGGCTTATCTTACCTTTAGATAATTTGGACAATAGGAAAGTTGAAGACAGAGTTGCTGATTCTAGTGAAGCGACTGCTCTAAACTGTGCAGCACGTGAGATGAAGTCTGAGCCCCAACTGGCGGCTGGGAATGGACGTCACCCTTCTGTTGATAGCCAAAAAGGGGCTGACCTTGAAACAACCAGTTCTGTAGAAAAGTCTCATGTCATCCCATTGCGACAGAATGGTCACTTTGCATTGGTGGATTCATCGACGTTGTTTTCTGTTCCCATCAAGTATCAAAGACACTCGAGTACTAATGCTCTATCAAGTGTTGGTGCTAACGGGATAAGTGAAAAGCATTCTCAGAAATTTTCTAAGAAAGGTGATTACCAGCAGCAGCAGCAAAGTTTGAGCCACTCACTATCCGATCCTGTTGAGTCCTCCCAGATTCTCAGGGGTTACCCCGTTCCGGTGCAAACTGTGAAGGAGATAAATGGGGATCTTAATTGGAAAAAACATGTCTTGCATCAAAATGTCTCAAAGTCGGAAGGAAAATTGCATTCAGATCGGCATACAGATTTCTCCCTTCAGAAATGTTCTAGTAGTTCAAGAAATCAGAGTGGCATTGTCCAGGCGACATTTCCAATCAAAGAACAGAGCAGGAATGATTCTAGACCCCGATCGGGTAGCTCATCCGACGTGGATAAGCCTTCCAGGAGTGGTGATGTGAAGTTGTTTGGTAAAATCATAATCTCTTCCCAAGACAAAGCTAGTTCTCGTCTGCAAGAAAACGGTGATAGTAACGGTCCGCAGCATAAATCGGGTAGCCAGTCACTGAACCTGAAATTCGGCAGTGATCACAAGGTCAACATTGATTCTTCTCAGTCGAAATTCGATTACAGTAACTACCTTGGCTCCGATAATATTGCGCTTAGGGGCTTTGAATATACAGGCTTCCCTCCTTTGCCCGATTCTACTCTCTTGTTGAACAAATATCCTGCTGCATTTAGAAACCACCATTCTATTATGCCAACGGTGAAATTGGAGCAGCAGCCGCATTTACATGGACTCATTGGCAATCACCACCATCCCCCATTGAATGCCGTATCTGTTTATCCGAGTGGAGATTTGCAGCAGCCTTTTACAATGGATATGAAGAAGCAGACACAACAAGATGTATTGTACTCTGAGATGCAGATAAGAAACGGGTTTGATGTAATGCAACAACAGCAAGGAAGAGGGGGTATGGTTGGAATTAATGTTGTGGGTAGAGGAGGGGGAGGGGTTGTTGTTGGAGGGCAGTGTTCGTCTGGCGTTTCTGATCCTGTGACAGCCATTAAAATGCACTATGCTAAAGCTCAGAATTTTAGTATACAGGCAGGAAATGTAATTAGAGAGGATGATAATAATAATAGTACATGGAGAAGCAGTGGGGATGTAGGCAGGTAGCAGAAAGTGAAGAGAGAAGGCGCCATCTTCTCAGTGGCAAGTTTTCTTCGTAATTCTTGTCGCGTTTGTATTATATAGTTTTTGTTGAGTAAGAAGTTGATAGAGAGCAGCAGTTGAACAAGTTTTAGAATCCGTATTTTTGTTTTTTTGTTCAGAAAATTTCTAGATCTTGTAATATTTGCAGGAGATTTGTATTTGTTGTATTTGTTGATGGAAAATACCCAAAAAAAGAAGAAAAAAGAGAGCTACCCTATCCTGTTGGAATTTCTGTTCGGGTGCGCGTATAGTGGTGTTCGACGATCTATATGAAGAGCTTCGCTAACTCTCTCTCTCTCTCTCTCTCAGGTGTTTGTTTGATTCTCTCTTTCTTGCATATTTTTTTGCAAGGATTGATTTGTTGTTAATACAGAGGATTGACTTTAGTCAACTGGGATTTAAGCTTCTTAAGCTATGGAAACAGGTGCTGCGTGTGAAATTTGGTACAACAGGTGAATTACCAGTAAATAATTCCATAAAACAAAACAACCTGTGTCTATAGTTATATCATATGTTACTCTTTAATTTAATTATTATTTATTTTAATTTTCTAACTTGCAATAAGTTAATTTTAATTTATTCCCATGTTGTGTGGCATGTGTTTGTTAGGTTGGAATTGTTAGTAGGTTGGATTGGAGTGATGAGTTTGTAACGAGTATTTCAACTTTGGTGGTACACCAAAACGTGACCACTTGTTTTTTTATGAGTATTAATTACCAAATGGATGGGACTCTCTCTCTCTCTCTCTCTCTCTCTCTATATATATATATATATATGTAACTTGGTCAACTCACCTACTTCATGCTCATCTCTTAATTCTTCTCTCTCTCTCACACACGCACACACACATATTATATAATAATATTTGAATGAATGAATAATTGTACTAAATAGAACAAGTGGATGATTAAAAAAAGTTCTCCATCTTATCTTTTTCTCATGAAATTCGGCTTTTCGACGACATGATTCCGTTGAAATTTTGCCAAAAAAGCATAAATATAATGTGGAAAAATATGCAGTAAAGCAATGTGTATAAATTTTGGACCTTTGCATAAATATAATTTTACAAAAATAACAAAAAAAGAAGAAAGAAAGAAAGCACAATAAAAACTAAATTTATCAAACAAAAGTCGTAAAGGACACTAGTCAATTACGTCTACCGTCCGTCGTAGAATAGATGGTAGAGGAGCAGTGATTTCAATTATCTGCAAAAATGGAACATATATGTAAATTTTCGACTTAATTACCTATTTCTCCTTAAATCACATTATCACGATATTATCCGAATAAAATCACGCCTTTTTAAAAACAATAGATAAACGAAAAGCATATATCAAGAAGTATAATATGTAGGAATGTAATTGTATACGTACCTCATTAGATACAGGGTGCGTAAACAGTACACGATGTGCATGCAAATGGTATCCGCAATCTCCAGGAACAGGTTTTTCAGGCCTCTCATATCCTCTGAAACGTAAACAAAAAGAAATAAATAAATAAATTAGAAAAAAAGAACTGTCAGCTAATCATCAGCAGTTCTATTCTATGACCAATTTTAAGCTATTTGAGACTATATTAACTCACGAGTTCATGTAAATTTTTGGGGTTCAAGTTGCATAAATCAACATTTATACTGATGAAGAGCATATGCTGGTAATTTCTTCAGTTAGTTTCGTCAGTTGTAAGTGAATAACAAACTAGGTAATGTCATGAAGGAAGTATAGCAGCTAAAGAAGATATGATCCGTATGATAATAGCAAATAAGAATGATTATATAATTTAGAATATCATTCTATACCCGTCTTCAGCGAAACTTTGATCTACAAGTTCATGATCGGAGCACTTTGGTTGTCCACCTGTGCTATAAAGAGGATCACCTGATACGCAGCAAGACATAATTAGAACATGACTATTGCAAGAAGAAAACAAATATTTGCACTTCAAAAGATGTAAAATTTTCATTACAAATAGAACTTCGCTTTTACTTTTTGTGACATATGGTTCTTGAAAATTTAGAAAATCTTCATGCATACATAAACTCAAAAACTTTAGTGCGGTAAAAAAAGTTTTTCAACATGATTTCTCAAAATCGTTTTGAAAAAATTCTAGATTACTAATTCACATGAAAAGAGTACTGTAGAAATAATGTCTTTTGTTGTAAAGAAGCTGCCAATGGTTAGTTGCTAAAAGAATCCTGAAAAAACAGGTACATGACAAACAACTGTAAATGTTTCATCAATCAATGTGGGTGCGAGCCTGTAGTTTCACAACAGATTGATTTTACAGAAATGCTTGAGATCGAACTATAAGGATGATATAATATCATGAACTTGATCATTTAAGACAAGTAACGTACGTATTAAGGCTATTATGTTCATGTTGACTGGCGGAATCAAGAGGGAGGATCATACAATAACTAAATAACACAAAGTAGCAACTTTTTCAGTGCAAGCAGAACTCTATGAACTCTTTGAAACTTTGAACTCTTTCATCTACCTCATAACCTTTTTTCAACATAAACGTACATATATCATGAGAAGAAGAATTTTCAAACTTACCTATCAGTGGATGCCCAATGAAAGAAAGATGAATGCGTATTTGGTGTGGCCTCCCAGATTGAATTTCAACCTAACATACAATATTGTACTGAATCAAGACTATACGTAGAAAAGAAGTTGCAAATAAAGCGAGTAGTTATGTAATGGTCAAATACTCCACGATATATCCAGAATCGACATAAGGCATATGAAATCTAACAGAAGAACTTTCTTGCGGATGGAACAATAATACTAGCATTTTTTATTATCCTAACAGACAAATTATCAGGTACAGATAAATAAAGAGCTTATGATTAGTAATGTCCTATGTAATCACTAAACCTGGACCAATGTGGAATTGTTCAGCATGTTTCTCTCCAAAACAACTACTTTGCTCCAAGCAGGTTTCCCTGAACAATAGAATGGTAGAATATGAATAACCAGCCAATAATGTTAGAAAAGTAACGTCTGATAATTGATAACATTTACAAAACCTGAAGGTGAGGCAACATACAACCCATTGGCAACTCCAGGATATTTGACCAGCCCAATGGGTTGATCGATGACAACCTGTCAAGAAATAAAGTAATGTATGAAAATAAGAAACGATATGGAAACTGAAATGATGCCCACTGGTTACTCATGTATGACCAATTTGTTTGATACGGAAAATTGACGAATCTACATAAAGAAAGAAAGACGAAATAGGGGAACAAAAAGAACAGTAGTTATTACCTCATCCTCAATGATTATCCCACTTGCTAGGGCTCGATATAGTTTTGTTATATTTCTTGTTGATTTCTGCTGTTGATCATTTTCCCTGTAAGAAAATTGTATCAGCGGCACGTATGTAATACAAGAGCCATGTGAGCATCGATGTGGAAACTTGTTTGGGTTCCAAACTGAAAACACAAAAAAGTATTGATTCTTTTATATGACATCATCCATGACAATGAGTCTAGAGTAAATGGGTGATGATAAAAGCAAATTATCAAATAGCTGTTTTCACTCACCTACATACCCCAACAACTGATGTCCCATCAGCAAAAAATGCTGCCAGACGAGATTTTGCGAGCTTCGTTTTTGCACAAAGTAGTATTCCTAGTGGCACAAAAGGATACGAAAAGGTGCAACTTTTATGTGATCTTGAGAAATATCGAGTTCCATGAAGAGTAAAATAGCATCTTACCAGCAGAAAGCAATTTACAAAGTAAAGGAAGATTTACATTTATCAACTAAAAAAGAGAGAATTAAGGCTTTCCGTCTAATATCAACAACCTACTTACTATCTGAACTCCGACCTCTGCCATCCAAGATTAACAAAAAGTTCATATCCATATAATGATGCAATACGCATTTAAAGTCATGATTTCATTGGCACAGTAAAGGTTTTTGCTTTCCTCTACTCGAGTGTGCCTAGGTCTGTAGGCTTATATCCAAGAGAAAAACACACTTATCAAGGACCTATATATGTATGATCTTTTATACACCCTTCTTTTACAAACTAAATTAGCTTCTGGATTGAGAATAGTATTACAATGAAAGAACTTTATGCGAAAGAAAGAGAAAACCTTTCACCTTGTTTTCCAGATTCAAAATTGAATAAGTGCACAATGCATACAAGATCTATGTCTGACCACCTTCAACCACCTCTCTCTTTGGATGATAAAGCAGGTGATAGAAAGTCTAACTTTTGGAAAAAATATTTCAAAAAAAAAACAGCAAAAAGAATTTTCAGGAAAAAAGTGAAGGGTAGCCTAAATAGTATAATCAGAATACATCCTGATTAACTGTCATTTGAATTTATAGATACAGAAATAACTTTGAGATTTAGCTGCTGTACATAAAGACTAACCTGATGTGCCTCTTCCAAGCCGATGAACTGGAACAGGATGAGGCTCTTGGCATCCGCCTGCATGTCGTTGGAGCTGTGTCAAGACAGTTCGCTGCTGGAATAACCCTCCAGGTAGAACTTGTAATCCCGAGGGTTTATTCAAAGCAATCTGGATGGACAAATAAAAATTAAAATTCAACTAAAAGCATTTATCATCAATATACATTGATTAAGTGGATATGTTAAGTGGCCATTGTAGTTGACATTTCTTCGATTTTGTTCCTTCATTTTGAATATATCATAATATTTTTTTTCTTTTGTCAATTAGTTCAATACAGAAATTTAAGTAGGAGGAGAATATTTAACCTTAGTGATGGTTGAGATAATAAAAAAGATCTACGGTTTTCCCCGATTACTAAAGAAAGCATTCAAATTCAACTTTATTTATTTACCACATCGTCATCCTCGTATAGAATTTCCACCAAGTGTGGAGCATCCGGCTCTTTCCAAGGAAGCCGATGATAAACTAATTCTGCACCTCCCCTACCATAAAACAGAAACAATACTCAATCAGAACCAAACTAACAATAGTATTCCTACAAGCATCTCAACACAATTTTCATCCCTACATTTAATTACAATAATACAATATCTTTTTCCCCCCTTTTTTTGATATGTGAATTGCATTAACAGTTAATTATCAAGTGACATAAATCTCAAACAAAAAACCTGAGAATTGTATTGGGATCGGTCACAACACCGCCATTGACAGTTATCTGCTTATTGTGAATTCTCTGCAACCAACTACTCAACAATCAGCACACAGTAAAAAAGAAAAATTCCCATAATTAGGTTTCTTTCAGTAAATTTAATTCGTTACCCGTGTAAAGGGGCTGAACTCTGGTACTTTCTAGAGTAGAATTCAATCAGTGTCGCACCTGAAAAAGAAGAAAAAAAAAAAAAACGAGAAAAATTACTGGACATAAAATTATCAATTTTGTGTGCGGCGGCGAGAGGCGTACCGTCATCGGAGGGGCGGAGGAGGTCACGGTAGTATATGCCGTCGTTGAATTCCGGCCAGGGATCGCCGAACGAGACCATTTTCTTCTCGTAAAAAGTTGGGGTTTCCGTTGAGAGAAAAAATGAGGGGAGGGAGGCAGTAATCATCTCTCTACTAATTTAAAACGAAGATAATTAGCACTTTAATTATTGGGTAAATTACAAACACCCCTGAGGTATGGTCAATTTACAAAACAACCCCTATCGTTTGGATAATTACATCTACCCCTCAACTATGATTTTTTCTTACACCTCCACCCTTATGGTGTCAAATTCAATATAATCATCTAGATTTCGTGGAATGTGCTCTAGTTTGTACTCGTTTTGTGTAAAAATACAGTTTCTGATGCACCACAATCTGATATATACAAGCCAAAAAACACATATTATGATCATCTTGCTTCAAAATATAGAGTTCGAATGGGATAAAACGGATACAAAAGTGATAATATTCCATATAATCTCGAAGATTCCACTAAATTTGAGGAATTGAGGGGGTGGTTGTAATTATCCAAACAAGAGAGAGGTTTTCATAATTTGACCATATCTCAGAGGTGGTTGTAATTTACCCTTAATTATTTATCAAAACAAAAGTAACGACTTCAATTCGAATTGGAAAGAACTGTAGACAACAAAGGGGAAGTCTGACCCGAGAGACCAGAATATGAAAAAGGATAAAATTGGGAATGAACAAATCTTTTGTACACACACCCAATAATATTAAATGGGAAAATTACAATTTTCACCCCTCAAGTTTGCAGTGATTTCACATTTGATCCCTTATGTTCACAAAAAATACATTTGATCCCTCATGTTTGAATAATTTAACACTCTTTTGAGTTTTGATCATCTCCGTGTATTTACCGTTAGACCGTTATTTAAGGAAGAGATGGCCACACGCTTAATTCAATTAGTTTTAACGAGAAATTGATGAAAATGACTACAAGTTTTAAATTTTTAAAACATGAATGATCAAATGTATTTTTTTTTTTTTAATTTGAGGGACCAAATGTCAAGCGCAAACTATTTGTACTTGCATTTTTAACATAAATATAATAAATAAATAAAAACTCACGAGCCAGCTTATAAACAATTTGAAATAGATTTTGAGCTCAACAAAATGCTCGAGCTAATAAACTTGAGCCAATACACAAGAAAATATACAACAAAATTCCAGTCTTACATATGAAAAATACATTAATAAGCATTTGGTATCGTTTCGGAAGTTACTTTTATTTTATGTCAGGAAAATATATTTTGAGAGAATAATATAAAAATGAAAGTAATATTTTATTTATATTTTGAGAAGATACAAAATACACTCTAGTAGTCAAATCATGTATAAAGTTGTTACAAACAAAAGTATTTTAGATAAAGAATTTGATGAATAAACTAATATTTGTTCGTTTTTTAGCGACACATTTTTTTTACTGTAGTAGTCGTCAATTCATTCATTCATGGAGGAGATATAAACTTTTGAAATTATTGTTAGAATTATTATTTTGAAAAGCTGAACAAACACGAATTCATTTCGTGAAAAGAATAAAAACCAAACCAAACATTGATGAAGTATTGTTTTAATTGAAATTCATCTACACATGTTTTCCAACCCTAAAAAAGATTGAAGATAAACTATAAAAAAACACTCTTTAATTCTCATTACAAATCAAGAACTATTTTAAATCATCAATTACATAATACATATATATAAGTACAACAAAATCAATCCCTCATTTATTCAATTAATTTTTTTTTAAAATAATAATATCAGCTTACGACGAGGGCACTCGCAGACGATTCCAACCCAATTTCGAAACCTGCACTCTCACCACAACCACCACCATCAACCGCCGCCGCCGATTTTTTTCCGGCAGAAACCGTCAGAAGGCGATGCCTCTCCGCCCGAGAACCGATAACCTGACCCAAAATCGAAGCTCCGATAGTAAAAGCCATGGCGGACTTTGGCATCAGAACCGATTTCCGGAGCATAGCTATGAACGGTACAGCCGCGTGCACTGCAACAAACCACGACGGAGAGAATTTCTCAGTGTGCTCTCTCCAAACTCCCAACGGTATATTTGCCGCCATGCCCAAAACTCCGATCACGAGTACTTTTGCAGGGAGGGGCTGAGGGCGGAGATTCTTGGCGAACGCGGTTTTCGATAGGGCAGCTCGGGCAGCTACTATGGCTGGCGGGCAGACGTATTTGACACCTGGCGGTGGCTGGAGCGCCTTTGCTACCAGAGGGATGACGTGGCTTACGGCTCGGTAGGATTTCGCGATCGGGCAGTTTCCCGTTTGGAACCACTCGTTGCTCATTGCTTCGTGTTTTGAATTATTATTATTATCTCCCTGTTTTTTCGAACATAAATATTATTATCAGATCGAGTTTTTATTAACAACGTAATTAATTAATGCGAGAATACGTTGGACGAATTTGATTTAATTACCTTTGAAGAAGATTCCTTTTTCGAGGGATTCGGTTTCTTCTTTGAATTCTTCCACTTCTCGGAGAACGCATCGAATCCAAAAGCTCCTCCGAATGAAGATAAGCTGATGGTAGCTGCCTTTGCAGCCAACGGATTGAATCGAGCCGTTAGTGATTCGGAAGAAGAAGACTTTTCGGTGCGTGGCGTTGACCTTCCGTAAAGTGGGACAACACCGTTTTGGCCATGGAAAAGTTTGAAAGCCATGTCGAAATTTGGACCATCCTCAAAAATAGGACCCTTTTTCTCCCTTATTACCTGAAAAAAAAAAAAGGTTTTCGTCAATAACGAAAAATACGATACTTCTAATTTAGCTAAACCTCATTATTAATGCAGTTGGGACTGGGGAAATTCTATTAATTTAGCGAATTAGTAAACTATCGAGTTAATAATTTAATACGTTTTCACCGAGTCAGGACCGAGAGAAACTAATATTTAATCGAGGTTATTAATTTATCGAGGTTCTGTTGTATATATATATATATATATATATATATATATATATATATATATATATATATATATATATGCAAAGACGAAACTTACGGGCATGGGGAAAGCCATTGCTTTGGAGAAGGAGAAGTTAGTGGGCTCGTTAATGTTCTGCAAAAACGGACACTTGACAATGTCCTGATTAAATGTCGACGAATCCACGTTCGAGTTCCCCAAGAAACAATCCATCCTAGATGAATAAATTAATCTGCACAAATACGAAACAAAATTCAAAGGATTACACTCTCGTTTAAAGCTCAAACTAATCGATTTTTAGAGCTCCGAATACGGATCTTATCGTTATAAAAGCCGACGAATCAAGGTATAACAACAAGCACCATCAAATCAAAGGATAACCAATCATTCAAAAGTATTCCAAACCAAATTGAAATTATTCTCATCAAAACTATATATGAAATTATAATCCCTTGTAACCAAATTCTTTAAACCCACATCAGCTCAAATTAAAATCTCAAAGAAACTACGGAAAACCCAGCAAAGTATTTACAGAAAACCCCAAATGAGTACCATTCAAGAATTAGAATTACAGCTCAAATTAAAAAAATAAAATTAATGCAAACCCATAATATTTTCAAAAAAACATGAATGGAAATTCATCATTAAAAACAATTGAAAACGCAGAACCAACCCCCACCAATCAGAAATCGGTAAAAAATGCAGGAACCAAAGAAAGGGAAGATCAATTACCTAATAAAGCAATGCTTCAATGGGGTTGGTTAACCGATCAAAAAACCTCCAGCAAAAAATGGGTT